GCGCGTTTGAGCAGTCCGTGCGATCAACGAATCAACGATATATCTTATCGCTCTGCTTGAAATGTTTCTGATTACATGTATATAAAACTGGCTTATAAAATTCTTAATCATAGTGATTTTTTCCTACCGCTAAGCCCCAAGTTTCCTACTGGTGGACTATTGCTTATGTTAGACTTTATGAATTATGTTAGGCGCACTTCATATGCAGTTGATTAATGAGTAATATTTTATAATAGGAGAAATGAAAGTGAAATTATGAAGTCAACGCATCACTATAACACAAAACAGAAACAACGAATAAAATGCCATATTTTGAGAGGATTCAGCATCCGAGCATTTGCTACAATATCCCATAATATCCTAGTGCATCCCCCTTGAGCCACAATGAGGTATATACAGGATTCGCTGCTGTTCTTTGGATAAGCAAATGCTGGTCGATGATTATACAGTTATACTGAATAACAAATGCTAATATGATAGTGACCAGCAGCGCGAAAACACCTCATTTTGCACGTAACTGACCGATTTCCGTCGAAATATTATTAGTCGTTTCCTGGTTTTGGATGATGCCAGAAATGGCTTCGACACTCTTAATTGTACCTTTCCTCTCTAATGATCAATCTGTGATACAGTTCTCATTGTCTGAATCGGCTAGAAGGTTACATATTCTAGAAAATACAAGCGATATGCATCAGCTTCAGGTTATCTTGATAGAGCAGAACCGTTTTAGCAAATATCGAAATGTCCAAATCCTTCATATTATCCTTAGACAGTTATATACGACCGAGACCATTGCAAGCAATTTACAATATTGCTCCAACTTCAACAAGCAGGAAATGTTTCAACTCTTCATTCTCATCTGCATTTTGGGACTCAGCATACAGGTATGATTTTACGCATATATTAGATATATATTTACAGCACCATCATCAGGGGGTCCTTCACAACTGAGTAAAGTTAGATATTATGCTCTTCTCCAAGCAAACAAAAGCTCTGTTTACAAAGCACAGCGGTATGACATCAGATTTGGTGCGCGCATGCGTGTGAGAAAACTCGAACTACTCGGATTGGTCCCAAAAAAATTCGATCCTTTGCTCACATAATTCACCACACTTTCTTGAGTTACTATCCCTTCATCGTAAAAGTTTGCATACGAGCAAGTAGTCCTTTCTCTAAGCTTCTCCAAAGCCCTCCAAAAATTTCGTTGGCCGTGCAATCCGCTCCAATAACAAAGCGCGCCCCGAAACAAAATGTGTACATTAACCTTGACTCACTATTTCCCTTTCCCTTTCCATGTCTGTTAAACATATCTGTCATCATTCTCAGGGGAGGGTGGAGGTGGAGGTGAATGGGGTAAGGAGGAGAAAGGAAAAGAAATGGAAAGTGAATATTTGAATTGTCTGTGTAATAAATGTTAAAGACGGAGTTTCCGCTTTGTCTATCATGGGGTGAGCAAGAGCACAAGCAAAAAAGCCAAGCGAGAAATAGCTAGAGAGGAGCAGAATTTCTCTGGTTCTAGCTGGTGTCGGCCCCTGGTCAGACTTTTTGTAAGCGGTCTTTCACCTATGCCGCCATATCAGTAGCCCTTTTAGAAGCATGTTCCCGACGACGAGGCCCTGGATTTTCCATTGCAATCACCTCGAGAAGAGGTAGACCCTAATGATGACGGCTTAAACCGACCATCAGTCACCAATGTAAGAATCCCTTGAAAGTTTTGGCGAATTCGAAAGGAAATTGAGTTTTTTCAGATATCACAAAGCTGCCAGAGAGAGAAAGGAGACACGGTTGCCTGCTTTTTCGTAGACTCAGTAAAAAGGGTAAGCAGACTTTTGCATCAGGTTTTGCCTCAAAAATCAATAAATCTTTTCTAGATATCCGAAACTTTGGATTTTTACTACAAAAAGCTGCGTGACATATTTGGTTGGGCTAAAACTGAAGAGCCCAGTGCAAATAACTCCACTGTAGCACCTATAAGGCGTGACATTGTGGAGCTGGATCAAGGTCTCTTGGAAATTGGACCAGGACATCAAGAGCTAAGACTGGAAACTGAAACTATGCATAGAAGGCGGAAAATGCATGGCAACGGTGTGATCGAGCCAGCTGAGAGTTATGATTCGAAGAAATTCATGGAGAACATTGAATCATTGAAGCAAAAGTTAGCAAATAGACACGATGACGATATTGTTTTAGATTAAATGTCAATACTTTCGTCATCATGTTTTTAATATTATTCATCAGAGCCCATTAGTATGTTGTATAGCAATTATTTGTCTTCATCTCTAAGTCTTTCACCATGCAGCAGCTAAAATTCATCTGTCTGCTTGTTGTACCCTTGAATTCAGTGGAATAGGCGGCTCAGGGCGAGCGACCGCACGCACCCGGGCGACCGCTCGCGCCCGCGCCGCATCTGCGTCTTTCCCGTGCGCATGCTCTCTGATCACTCTCTAGCCTCAACTAGGTCACGAAACTCCGCCTCGCAGCCGCCTATCTGATTGAATTGAAGGATAATTGATTTCTGCAGTTGAAGTGATAGTATCCACTACCCAAATTGTCAACCATAGAACAGTACATATCTTTTTACCTGAACAATGTTTAATGTTTAATCCATAACTTTTCGCAGTATCTGCACCACTTCATAAAAGTCGGAAAAGGAAAAAGAATTTCAACTGATATTTTGAGATTTCTCCGATATTTATAAGAAATTAGAAGTATTCACCGCCGATAACGACATGATGAGAGGGGGTGCAAGACAAGTTACATATAGAATTACGCTGTCCGAGAGCACCGATGTCCTTTGAAAAAGTGATTTGCCTAAAAAATTAATATAATATTAATCATGCATAATTGAAGCTTGCCATCTCCATTTTCCTCTAGAATTTTGGGTCGTCGGTTATGAAAAAAGTTTGTATTCGTGTAAAATAAACTTCCAAAAACACAGTGTATTTTATAAAACGTTCAATAAATTCAACAGTTCAATTCAACTACACATCATTTTCTAATTATCCATACAGTCTCATCGAACGCCCTGGGAGTCTGACTTTATTCAAGCGGCATGTTGCTTGTTGAGACTGAGATACGAATACGCAAGTTTGCAAAGTCCAAAAAAATTGACTGACTGTAGTAGAAAGTTAGGAATCATGTTCCCTGGCCGAGTAATTTTGTCTGCATCCCACCACTTCTGTCCCTTCATGCGCACGGGATGAAAGAAATTTCTAGCAAATAATTCAAAGTAGTGTTTGCAGATTGATTGTTCAAAAGCACTAATACTCGCTCAACACATTCTCCTTCTTCTTTTTTGTGAAGGTTGTGGCTCCAAACCTTCACGTCCATAATTTCGATTTTTCTAGGTGAATTAAATTGTTTGCTTCACCGGCTGTTAAACGACAGGAGAGAATTATGAAAGGCTGAACACCTTATCTTTTGTAACGTAAACAACATGTTTCCAGTGATAATAAAAACGTTTCCTGGTCACAACTACTCTCCTATTACCGTACCTTCGGACAGAAACTACTTTTTTCTGCTCTATATGCATCAAATAAAATTAACTAACCGGAGCAAGACGGTCATTTTTGATAACGAAATTCCTCTTGAGTAATATTGCAGACTTTTAACAATTTTTTGACATGCAACCGCAAAAAAA